AAAAGTCTAAAGAACCAAAAAGGAATGTTCTTAACTACAAATAAAGAAAACCAAAAATGTGTTATAGACATTGAAATGAAAGATTAACATATTAAAAACAAGTTTTGCTAAACAAAAAAAAAAAATAGAAAAAAAATAATGTTTTATGCAGCAACATGAATGGAACTGGAGGCCATTATCTTACATGAAACTCTGGATTCTTAGAGCGTTAGCATAAGTATCAAATAAGTTGGGTTCTAGTCCTGGCTCTCCAACTTACTAGCTGAGTTATTTTGTTAAATTCTTTAACCTTTCTGTGTCACAGACTTCTTCAACTAAAATACCTTTTTACAGTTTAAAATGTTATGGTGTAAATAATATGTTACACTTAAATAGAATTTCTAATTTATAAAATGTATTTCTGTTTTCTCTCATTTGTTCCTTATAACATCCCTGGGGGATGCTGGGGAGGTGTTTCTACTGTGTTTGAAAAAATTAGAGGCAGTACCTAAGCTGGAGCAGGGTAGAGGCGGGCCGGCACCCACTTCTGACCTCCGGTGCTGCCGGCCTCAAGATCAGGCATGGCCCAGAACTTGAAGGACTTGCCGGGACGGCTGCCCGCGGGGCCCCGGGGCATGGGCACGGCATTGAAGCTGTTGCTGGGGCCCAGCGCGGTGGCATACGGTGTCCGCGAATCCGTGTTCACTGTGGAAGGCGGGCATAGAGCCATCTTCTTCAATCGGATCTGTGGAGTGCAGCAGGACACTATCCTGGCCGAGGGCCTTCACTTCAGGATCCCCTGGTTGCAGTACCCCATTATCTACGACATTCGGGCCAGACCTCGAAAAATCTCCTCCCCTGCAGGCTCCAAAGACCTACAAATGGTGAATATCTCCCTGAGAGTGCTGTCTCAACCCCAATGCTCAAGAGCTTCCTAGCATGTACCAGTGCCTAGGGCTGGACTACGAGGAACGAGTGCTGCCGTCCATTGTCAACGAGGTGCTCAAGAGTGTGGTGGCCAAGTTCAATACCTCACAGCTGATCACCCAGCAGGCCCAGGTATCCCTGTTGATCCGCCGGGAGCTGACAGAGAGGGCCAAGGACTTCAGCCTCATCCTGGATGATGTAGCCATCACAGAGCTGAGCTTTAGCCAAGAGTACACAGCTGCTGTAGAAGCCAAACAAGTGGCCCAGCAGGAGGTCCAGCGGGCCCAATTCTTGGTAGAAAAAGCGAAGCAGGAACAGCGGCAGAAGACTGTGCAGGCCGAGGGTGAGGCTGAGGCTGCCAAGATGCTTGGAGAAGCACTGAGCAAGAACCCTGGCTACATCAAACTTCACAAGATCCAAGCAGCCCAGAATATCTCCAAGACAATCGCCACATCATAGAACCGTATTTATCTCATGGCTGACAACCTCATGCTGAACCTACAGGATGAAAGTTTCACCAGAGGAAGTGACAGCCTCATCAAGGGTAAGAAATGAGCCTAGTCACCAAGAACTCCATCCCCAGAGGAAGTGGATCTGCTTCTCCAGTTTTTGAGTAGCTAGCCAGGGGTCCGGCACAGCCCTACCCCACCCCAGTATCATGCGATGGTCCCCCACATCGGTCCCCTGAACCCTTCTTTGATTAAGAAAGACTGAAGATCAGCCCCTTTTCTGGGGAATTACTTTCCTCCTCCCTGTGTTAACTGGGGTTGTTGGGACGTTGTGTGACTTCTCAGTGATTTCCTACAGTGTTGTTCCCTCCCTCAAGGCTGGAAGGAGATAATCACCAACCCAGGAATTCCCAATAAATTTTTACTACTTAACCTGAAAAAAAAAAAAGAAAAAATTAGAAAACTATGGCCCAGGAAAATTAGAGGATTTGCTTAAGGTTGAACGTCCTTTCCACCACACCATGTTGAATTTTAAACTGAGGCTTTATGGTCAGTTTAATAATTTACTTTTTAAAATCCAGACATCCACGCTAACATCCGTGGAAGGAAACCAAATTTAACATGGGATGTTTTCATTTACCATTAGTAAAAATAATTATGAAACTTCATGGACAAATTTGAGCATGCCTTTATGAGTACAAACTTCTGAACCTAGTTGAAACGGCCCACCCAAACCATATAGTCTCAGCCTGTTGTCTCATTGCACAAATAAAGACTTGAATAAAAGGAGGTTAAAAACCTAAATGAAAGCAAAAAATATGAGGTTAATCCTGTTACTTAAGACGTAGCCAAAAATCGATAGTAGGTCTAGCATTAGTGAGTTGTAGTCTAAATCCCACATATTTGGCAAAATCCATCATTTTATTTCCAACCTATGTCAAGGCACTTGGCTATAGGGAGTTCTTTCAGTTTTATAATTGCAGCAACTTTTAATCATAACAAGTTAAAGTATAAAGAGGCTCATTATTCTGCTTATAAGATAATCCTACTTTATTTTACTATATTGAGAACTCAGAATAAAATATGGTGATAACTATGAGCAAAGGCAAAGAAAAGCACTATCCAAAGTTATCTATTGTCCATTGAACAGCTAACTCAATTCATTTTCTTCCAAAATCAGCAGCACAACATTTTTACTCTCCTATAACTATTGAAAATCATAGTTTCTATCAAAACTGACCCAATAGAAGGACATGGTGTTTCCTCCAACTGTTTAATTTCAGAAGAAGTATTTAGTATGCTGTCAACATTTCCCTTTGAGAGTCAATGCAAATTTGTTCTCCTTTTGCTTCCTCTGAATATTGAAAAGTGAGCTCCAATGCTATAAAGTTTTTACTGAGTTCATGTTGTTGTGACAGGGGTCTGCATTTTCTCAGGAAAAGAAATACATTCCCTAAGGAAACAAACAAGATCTGGGCATGTCATCAATTGATGACAACGACATCTCTCTGGAAATACCTTGTTAACATTCTGTTAAAATCATAGGCACCTCTCAAGAGTCTTAACAGTTTCTGAATCTTTAGATAGTGTGTATTTTGTGACAACTCTTCCGTCAAAATCAAAAAACAACTGAAATTTATTCTCCAATGCTCTTTCTTCTTCTCTCATTAATATATTTCTCTAACATCTCACATTTAGTTTGCACGTTTTTTGGAAGTGTCAAGAATGGGAAAGAGTTTTTAGAAAAGAAGAGAGATGAAATTCACAGACATACTCAAATTACTCCAGTTCTGGGAATGCCTCAGATAATGAATCTCACACCTTGATATGTGTCAAACATAATACAAAAATGGCTTCAAATAAGGGGTATTTTTGGCTTATTGGCATTGTAGGTTTCATAAATATTTTTGCTTTCATAAGTATAGAAGAAAGTTCAAAGATCTAAATTCTGAGCTAATTTATATTGGTAAGCCTTTGAAGTTCCATAGCAACAGCTATAGATATAGATATGATAAAAGTTGATATTCATTTCACTGACAAACCTAACCCCTCATTCATAAGAAATGAGGTCATTTTAAGATGTAACTCAATCCCAAACAAATCTGGCATTCACTTGCAAAGTCCATCATTGACTTTTTGCAATCCCCATTCAAATGGTTTCATTTACGCTGTTTTGTTGTTGGTGGTGGTGGTGTATTGTGTTTGCTTGTATTTTTTGGTTTTTTTTTTCTATGTGATCCTCTTCAGAGTTTTTTTGTTTGTTTGCTTGTTTGTTTGTTTGTTTGTTTTTATGAGATGGAGTTTCACTCTGCCACCCAGGCTGGAGTGCAGTGACTGTATCTCCACTCACTGCAAGCTCCGCCTCCCTTGTTCATGCCATTCTCCTGCCTCAGCCTCCCAAGTAGCTGGAACTTCAGGCACCTGCCACCACACCCAGCTAATTTTTTGTATTAGGGACAGGGTTTCACTGTGTTAGCCAAGATGGTCTCAATCTCCTGACCTCGTGATCCGCCCTCCTCGGCCTCCCAAAGGGCTGGGATTACAGGCGTGAGCCACCGTGCCCGGCCTAGAGTTTTCTTAAAGTGCAGAAAGCAGAAAGAAAGATATTTGAGCATAAGAGATTTTTATTATTTTTTATTTTTAAAACTTGTTTGTTTTGGATTCAGGGAGTACATGTGCATGTTTGTTACATGGGTGTATTGTATGATGCTGAGGTTTGGGCTTCAATTGAACCTGTCACCCAAATGCTGCATATAGTAACTAATAAGTAGTTTTTCAACCCTTGTTACCCTCCCTCACTCCCCCTTTAGAGTCCTGAGTGTCTCTTGTTCCAATGTTTATGCCTGTATATACCCAATGTTTAGCTCCCACTCATCAATGGGAACATGGGGTATACGGTTTTATGTTTCTGCTATAATTTGCTTAGGGTAATTTCCTCCAGCTTCCATGTTGCTGCAAAAGACATTATTTCATTCTTTTTATGGTTGCATAGTACTCCATGGTGTATATGTACTGCATTTTCTTTATCCAATCCACCATTGACAGACACCTGTGCTGACTCCAATTCTTTGCTATTGTGAATGGCACTGCAATAAACATGAAAATGCAAGTGTCTTTTTGGTAAAATGATTTATTTTCCTTTGGGTATATGTCCAGTAATCGGATAGTTGGGTCAAGTAGTAATTTGACGTTTTGTTCACAAAGGAGATTTTATTACAGATCAAATAAAAAGTTATCTTCATAAAGGATGAAGTGAATATTAATTTATCTTAAGAACTTGAAAATTCAAACTTTTTTAAGTGCTAGATGATCATAAGTTCTCTATTCGACTCTAACCATTTCTTAAATATAAGGCCCTTGAGGCTTAAGTACTCTTGAAGTTGCTAGAATCTAGTAAATTATGCTTACTGTAAATTGTTTATTCATATTTTTGTGAAATATTCAATATAACTTTGCTATAACCACCATAGTCTTCTACTATGTCCTAATTTTAAGTAATGAAATATTTTTGCGGTACTAACAGAGAGATGTGTTTTCATATACAAATAATTCTCCTCCATAACTACATAGGGATTTTCCTCCAAATTCATTCTTATGAGAGATAACTTACTTTATTTGCCTGAAAAGCTTTGTAATATTTTTATTGCTAAAGAAAGAGCAGCTCTGAATATTGTTTGGTTTTCAAGAATGAAAATGGTCTGGCACGTTGGCTCATGACTGTAATCTCAACACTTTGGGAGGCCAAGGTTGGGGAATTGCTTTAGGCCAAGAGTTCAAGACCAGCCCTGGCAACACAGTGAGGCCCTATCTCTACAAAAGAAAAAATTCAGCCAGTCATGGTGGTGTTACAGTCCCAGCTACTCAGGAGGCTGAGGTAGGAGGATTGTTTGAGCCTAGGAATTTGATGATGCAGTGAGTTATGATTGTACCACTACACTCCAGCCTGGCTGACAGAGCAAGACCCTGTCTCATAAATAAATAAATAAATAAATAAATAAATAAATAAATAAATAAATATGAATGAATAAAATAAACCTTAAAAATCATCAAGTCAAACCTTCTCATTGCACTTATGATGGAAGTGAGGCCTAAAGAAGAGAAAATATTTGCACATATGGGAGGCTAAAGCGCTCTGAATGTTCAAGAATGTTTTCAAGAATGAACAAATGGATCAATTAATTGATTGACGGATGGATGGATGGATGGATGGGTGGATGAGTGATGAATGGGTGCATAAACTGGTGGACCAATAAATAAAATTGGTGGAAGAGTCAGGACCAGAGCCTTATTGTCCTAGCATTCACTTCACTTCACTTATGCTATATAATAATACATCTTGAAGCAAATATATATATACACATACATATATATATATATGTTTAAAAATAATAGTATTAGCAAAGTGATCTAGAAGAGAAACTATAAGTTTTCAACCTAGACAGACCTGGGTTTGAATTTCACCTCTGCCACCTGATAGCTTTGTGACGTTGGGAACGTTAGTTAACTTGCTGAGTTCCATTTTTTTTAATCTGAAAAATGGGGATAATGAAGCAATAATGAAATTGAATAAGATATCCGTGTAAAACATCTAGCAAGTGCATCCTACACAATAGATGTTCAATAAGTGTTTGTCTCTCTCTTTTTCTGTGACTCTTGCGTTTTAATTTATAGCTTATGGAAATGCCAATGTTATTTCATCTAAATACCATGGAACTTCTTTACCATAGGTGACTCTAATCCAATGTTTCTCAAAGTGTGGTCCCTCAGAACAACAGCATCAGGAACACCTGAGAACTTTTAGATATGCAAATTCTTAGGTCCCATACCACACATACAGAGTCAGAATCTCTGGATCTGGAGCCCGTACATTTCTTTTTTATTAAATCCTTCAGGTTATTCTGATACACATTGAAAACTACTAATCTATATAACTGATATCTCTAGATCCACTGCTCGGTTTTCTAGAGCTATTTAAATGCATAAAGACAGCATAGGTTAGTTTTTACACTGCTATAAGAATACTACACAAGACTGGGTAATTTATAAAGGAAAACGGGACTCACAGTTCCAAATGGCAGGGGAAGCCTCAGGAAACTTACAATCATGGCAGAAGAGGAAGCAGGCACTTCTCACATGGCAGCAGGCAAGAGAAAGAGACAGAGAGAGAGG